CTTGGGTTGCCAACCCGGTGCTGGTTAGAAAGGCCAGTGGGGCATGGCGTCTTTGCATCGACTTCTCCGACCTCAACAAGGCGTGCCCCAAAGACAGCTATCCCTTGCCCCTACATTGACTATATGGTGGACGCCACCTCAGGGCATGAACTAATGAGTTTCATGGACGCATATTCCGGATACAACCAGATCCCGATGCACCCGGATGATGCCGAGCACACCTCTTTCTATTCGGCGCGCGGACTCTACTGCTACACCATGATGCCGTTCGGACTGAAGAACGCCAGGGGCCACGTACCAGCGCTTAGTCAACAAGATGTTTGCTAGTTTGATAGGTGTTAGTATGGAAGTGTACGTAGATGACATGTTAGTCAAATCGGTGTATGCGTCCGACCATGTAAACGATCTCAATAAAATGTTTTCAATTTTGCGTGATTACAACATGAAGTTAAACCCCAAGAAGTGTACTTTCGGTGTCGGCTCGGGAAAATTCCTAGGATACATCGTTAGTCAACGCGGCATCGACGCCAATCCCGAAAAGATCAAGGCCGTCCAGGACCTCCGACCGCCGACCTCAATCAAAGGAGTACAAAGCCTGACTGGCAAGCTTGCCGCCCTCAGTCGATTCATTTCGAAGTCGACAGACCGGTGTAAGCCGTTCTTCGACGCAATCAAAAAGAATCATAAATTCGAATGGACTCCGGAGTGTCAGCAAGCATTGGAAGCTATCAAAGAAACCCTGAGCCGAGCTCCAACCATGCAAAAACCCTGACCCGGAGAGATGCTTTTCCTTTATTTGGGAGTCTCCGATGTGGCGGTCACCGCCGCTCTCATCCGAGAAGACGAGTCTTCCCAACATCCTGTCTATTACGTCAGCAAGGCACTTCACGATGCCGAGCTGCGATACCCGCCGATGGAAAAACTTGCATTCGCCTTAGTGACCGCCGCGCAGAAATTAAGGCCGTATTTCCTCGAATATTCTATAACCGTGCTCACTGCTTACC